CCATGTTGTATCAACGCATTCGGGATGGCGCGCTGGGCGCCACAGGTTGCACATTCTTCTATAATTATTGGGAAAGAGCCTCGTACTCGGCACGATCTGTCGAAACCTGGTACTGATTAACGCATTACAGTCCGTCATACACGGAATAGTGTTTCGAAGCGATACTATCATAAGAATGTTGTATAATTCCTCAAGAAATATCAGTATCAGTTTAAACAAAGAGTATAAAATAAATTTACCAACAATAAATAAAATGTTCCTTTTACAGTGCTAGAAAAACCATTTCCATTGTATCCATTGGTAGGTTTCAATCGCGAATGCTTGAGAACAAAGCTGCAACTGCAATTTTTCATCTTTCTTTCCTCGTTTTTTATTTTCCATTTTTCATTTTCCATTTATCATCTTTCATTTCTGTCGAACACTATCACAAAGAATTACTCTTCAAACTCGTTCTACGAACTCTAATATCAGGTATCCGGACAGTAATGCGTGGATTAAAAACGGAGAGAACCGATTCTCACTGATCGAAAAACTGTTGGTCAATAAATTCACAGCCGTCCCGAATACGTCGATCACGGGAACGGGGCGGGGGTCGCAGGACCGTCTCGTCGGGCAACAATCACGCTCGTGCTGCTCTCCTCTGGCTGAAGTGGAAGTATAAAAATATAATTTCAGGATATGTCGATATATTGTAAGCGATATCGAGCATAAAAGGGGACGCGTCGGGACGCTCTCGTTTCCTTTGCGAATTCGTACGACGGACATTGTTCGGTGAACAACGGATCTCGCTTGTTGTTTCTCCGTTTTTTTTAAAAAAATAAGTTAGTTCCTCCCGGACTGTGCGGCACTCGAATACGATCGCGCGTCCTCTTTCGGTCCGCGTCTCCGTACAACCGAAATCCCGTGCACGTTCAGTGATAAATCAGAAGGGGAACAGAAAACTGTGATCGGACCGAACCGAACTGAACCGAACCGAACCGCTACACGTGTCAGCGCGCCGATCGATCGGACTTTAAGAGGACGAGGCTAGGAGGGGCCTGCGTTGAGCGATCTCTTTGCAATCCTGAGGAACGTCCGGCTTGCGAATCGTTTTCGATTTCCGCCTTAATTGCTTGCACCTCTGCCCCTCTGCCTCACCCTCGATCCTCCCGTGATTATCCTCCTCCGTACTTTTGTCCACCATTTCCTTCGGGTCGATGTCGTCGACGCTGCTCCAGCTATTGCCGCTCTCGCTGCGGTCCCTGTCCCCCTTCGCGTCCTCCGATCCGTCCTCTTTTTCTCGCTCCCGACAGCCGCCGTTCTCCTGTGCACATCATTCGCGTACAAAATGGACATCGTTATCTCGTGAAAGCGTTCATTTACAAAACTACGCCGGAAACTCTACCGAAACCTTAGTCTGTCTTTCGCAACCATAATCATCATTAACACTATAACTACCGGCTGGGTCGGAGTGGCCCATTCCCGACTTTTTTTGCAATTATCGAGGAGAGAAGGGATACTTCTCGGACATATTACTAGAGAAATTGTGTTAATAATACTCGGGCCGAATTGTGTCGAAGTTTCGACAGACGTGCACTTGGCCCTCGATCTACGTAAAAAATCGTTTCACATGGACCCGTTTCACGCGAATGAGAAGCGTGTAAATAGAGTTTGTCGGTAGAAGAGAAAACAAACTATTGGAAAGAAGAGCTGGTATAAGCTTTAGAAATACATATTCATTCCACAGAACTTAACAAAACGAACAATAATTATATTTCAGAAAACGAAGGTAGATTTTATTCCGTGTCACTACGTTCAGATCGCGTGAATTAAGACGGCACATGAAAACTAGCACGTGAACACTGTTATAATTTACCGCGTAAATCGGGGGTCACTCTCAGAATTTCCATGGAAAAGTTTCGAAAAGTCGACTGCTCGGTGGTTATAGCGTTACACCACGCTCGATCGTTATATTCTTACGTATACTCGGCAAAAGAAGTTTCCAAGTGGTCGAGTATTGTTGCTGTTTGTATTTGTTGTGCTTTCGTTTCTAGGAGAGAAACTAGACTAGTTTCGCTCGTGAGAATTGTATTTCGTTTTTATTCTGTGTGTTCTCGGTGTACAATGTGTTTCAGGAAAAGACTTTGTCGCAAATGAATTAGAATGTTCTGCCGAGAGGTTTTGTCGTGAAATGAACGATGGTTCGGTAACAATTCAAACTAATTGTCCTGGGAGTGTAGTAATCGGATGTTTTCGTAGTGACTTTTAATGAAACGCGCGTGTCGCGTCGCTGTTCGCGCGTTATTATCGCGTCCGCTTTTCATCGTAAAATATATTGGGAAAGTTTCGCGGTGGGAACGGTTGTTACCATCGTTCCGGCTTTCGCCGGTATCGTCATGGTGGTAGTGGTGACCGTCGTGTCCGTGGTATCGCTGCTCTCGCTGTTATTGCTCGGTCGGATCCCGACCAAAAGTGCCCCTTCCTCGAAATTCTTAGCGCGACCGAATCTCCGCGACGATGGCCAGATGTCCGATGAATTTTTTACGTTAGCCTTGGCGAACTTCTGCGCGACGCCCGTCGTCCATACGCTCGCTTCGCTGCTCCCTGTACTGCTGTCACTTCCGGTGCTGCAGTGCCTCCATCTCCGCTCTTTTTCGAACACATGGACAAGCAGACTTTCTAGAGTTTTTGACTCGTGTTTGGTTCATTTTTGTATCGAGATCGATGAAACGAGTTTTTAGCGATGCCGGTGAATCTGTTGCACGAGTTGAATGTGATATTGATTTGAAATTAATATTGGTATGATTGGATCAGCAAGAAGTTATACGCGGCTATCTAAAATTTTAGATGAAATTTGGATCAGATTTTAGATGAAGTTTTAGATGAAATTCAGATGAAACTTAGATGAATTTTAAACTAAATTTAGAACAGATTTATTTTACTTACATTTTAAATTTCGTTTCATTCAAACGTTGCTTATGCTAAAAGTTCGAACTATAACTCAACGGCCAATGCATTATCAACGGGAATACTGTTCGAAGTAATGAAGCGAATTAAATTAGTTCATCGTGGTGTTTCTTTCATGAGGATTTAACGCACTCGTTGATAATAATCAGTAATAAATCTTGAGAAAGTAAATATATTTACTGTCGCACGGCAGAGCATTCGAAATGAAGGGTTTCCTCAATAACGGGCTTCCTCCGTCTTGACTTTCTTCGCTGCAGGCCCGCGTTATGAGGATCCTCGGGCTTCTTCTTGGCGTCTCGTTCATTGCTATAGAGCAGCCAGCGCTCACGTCCGCCCCGATGAAGTCGCTTCGGTAATGAGGACCCATCAAGCTGGCTGCACTTGCGCTCGACCTCACGAGCTTGCTGCTTTCACCTATTCACATAATAATTGGATTGTGTCGGCGATAATGAAAATTCTATGGCTGAACAACTGCCAATGGGAATTTTGAAACTGAACATTAACGAAATATCTTTGGCCATTATACTGTAACAGACACTAGAAAACCAGCATATATTATCTTCTTTCCCTTATTAACAGAAACTAAATGCCAGTTAGTCTCGACGCATAATGAAGACATTAAGTAATTAACAGTACGTTTCCTATGAAACCTAGGCAAAAGAGGTTAATATGCAATTTCATTCTTTAAAACTCACGAAGGAAATTCTAATCAATTTTTGGAAATGATTAATAATTAATGGGAAATAAAGTATTAATTCCTTTATTAGGCCATTTATTCTGTCTTCTCTTAATAAAACAAATCATCGATTGTAACAAGAATAGGTTAATAACGCAGCAAAGTGTAAATCTTGATAGGTTGATTGGTGAAGAATTTAGATTTCTATTCATTGCCAACCTGATTCGGAAGTTGGAACACGTAGCGTGTTGCACGAAGCAGCGGGTTGCAGCCTAGTCCGATGAAAGCCGAGATTATTGCTGTCGAAATTGTTCCCGGTCCGGCAGGAGCCCAACGCCAGCAACGCCTCGCTCAGTCTGCGTTGTAATGGCGGGAACGGGAAAAATGAACCAGTTCCACTTCCGGACGGTCTTCGTGATCCTGCCGCGCTCGGCGTTCTCGCCTGAATTTCCTAAACAGCGAGAAACAACACCAATCTAATACGACAAAACAAAATTCTGGTAATTGACCAACGAACGAGGTTGCTCAGAAATCGACGCTTGTCGCTTATCGAACGGTTTCCGTCCATTTAATGAAGCAAGATTAATTGGGGCATAAATAAATACAAACGGGAAATATTTGTATATTTGACCGACGAACAATTGCACGAATATACACGATAATTAACGCTTATCGAATGATTCTCGAAAAATAAAATGTTTTCATATTTCATCAACGAACAATTACGCGATGTTGCATCGGAGTCAACACTTGTCGCTTATCGAACGGTCCTTGCCAATGTGTGTAATGAGATTACCAGGAAAATAAATGAATGAAAAATGTGAGAAAGGATCAATATTCGACCAACGGAAAAGCTGCACGAAATTATAAAAAACGGAGATGGTTATCGACGGATACTTTTCAATGAATAGGAACATAAATGAATGAAAAAAATAAAAACGAACAAGTTTACTGTAATTGCTTCGAGATCGTGGTCATTACTTGTTGGAGCTCCGACTTGGTCGCCTTCTTCCGCCAATAGTTCTGCACAGATCGTCTAAGGGTCTGTGATTTCAGGCCGTAAAGGAGACTGTTGATGGGTGGAGAACAGGCGAGCAGAAGAGAGGCCAGCGAGGCTAGCTTCGGGTGATCGTGGAGGTGCAGTTGATTGCCGACGCCGCAGACCTCCCAAAGGATCAGGCCGCAATAAGGGAAATAAAGTATATACAGAGAACCAACCAGTTGCATCACCTGGAAATTCAGTGCTCTGCTGAGTACACAAGAAAACGTGGCGGAATCCAATCGAATTACGAGATGCCTTATGATGAACGAATTCACGAAGACGATGGCGAAGTCGATCAGAAGAAATATCGAAAATTCTTGAACGGATCTGTATTTCTTCTATCCACGATCGAAAAGAAGATGACAGTTAATTGGGCGTAAGACCGAATTATCGTCGCGTGGCAACGGTGTCCATCGATTTGACTTGCTAACCGATCGATGGAAATTTCGTTTCCGGGCGGAATTTTAAAACTGTCGCTCCAATCACCTTGAACTGGCTTAAAAACGACGGATCGATAAGGTTGATTGATCCGTGATAATTAAACATTGAATTTATGCTCCCGATGAAAAACGCGTTTTAAGATAACTTGCACAATATTTTTCATTGCGTTGACGGTGTGTCAGAGAGGGATTTCACGTTTGCCGTAAATAGCCCGAAAAACACGGCGGCCTGTAAATATTTGCCGCCCAATACGGTTCGTTTAACGTTTCAAGGGTGACAAACAAAACCTCGAATGGGAATCGATTTCTGTAGGCTCGGTGGGATTACGATAGTCGCGCAACGATAGGGTGAACCCGACGATCGAGAGATCCGTGCGAAATTATCCTTGAAACGTGTTGGTTCCGGAGTGGAGCTACCAAACTGTCTGACATAATGCTGGGTTTGCATTGGTTCGGCAGCATTCTAGTACAGTGATCCAATTCAACATTGAAGTGTAAACGGAATAACGTAAGCAATGCTTCCATTTCGGTACCTACTATCATCATCGTTTCAGTAATTAGTTCGATAACCGAATCGGAAGCTTTCTTCTTTAACCCAGTGTTTACCTCCACCATCGTGAACGAAAAATCGCAGTATCATTGAAATCGTCTAGACGGGGCGTGTCCTTGTCGGTGAGCCGCGAAAAATTTAAAAATGCCATCTACATATTCATTAAGAGTGTTCGGCTTATCGAGAATACTTCAGCTTCATCGAATTACCATAAATAATGCTGTTAGGTTAAATTAATTATAGCATGTCTTGCCAGCGAATGAGTCGTAAGAAATCATTTTACTATATCAAAGTTTGGGTATCATTATGTCGAAATAACACAGATAGCTCGGTTGATGCATATTTATATGTGTTCGCATTTTCCAACAAACATTGAGATTAACCCCTTCAAACCTGATTTTCGTATAAAATTATGTTCACTTATCTAACAAAAACGGATACTAGAGAAAAAGACGCTATTCACCGTCAGTAACATTATTTCGAATAAAACAGTGGTACTATATCACTTTTCTATTAGAAGTAAGCTCAAAATAAAGATCTATATATTGCCTGCCACAGTGTTAACACTTTATCAACCTCCTGTGACTGATACAAATATCTCGAACGACGAATATAGTTTCTTCTATCCCGTTGGCAAATACGTTTCAACTTCTCAATCTCTATAATCTTAAATCGAAACATAACAGAATCTCATTATGTTATTCCGATTCCCTTCGTTTTGGAGCAATATAATTCTAATAAGTCGTCAGTTGCCAAATTTGGAAAAGAAAAGCCGATTGGTAGGTTTGCTGTAGATAAAGCGTCAATATACCGTCAGACATTGAACCGATAAAACAATGTACATCATAATGTGCGTCGGGTTTGAAGGAGTTAACGCGGGCAGCGAGCATTTCCAGTGAAGCGTCGGGAACGGAATCGCTCGATCCGGCAACAGGACTAACGTAAACCCAGCGTAATATCCGTCCATCCGACGGAATTATGCACGACGATAAGTGGCGCGGCGCGTCGAGTATCACGCGAACGATGAATTATGCGGAGCAAACAGATATTACTAGAGGTGTCGAGTGTACGAACCGTGCTGGCCGCGCTGTGGAAGCGTGGCGGGCTGACGGCGGACGGCGCAGTGACAGTCGGTACGAAAAACGGATTCCGTTGATGCGTGATGGTCACCTGGGCGCTCAAGGTGACTTCGTAAATCGCGCTGGCGATGCGGTGCCGGTGGTAGCGCGCTATGCCGAGCACACGCAAATTGCAGACGGTGACGAGCACGGCTGGCAGCGCCAGCCCCAGGATCGCGTAAACCGCCCCGTAAAGCGCCGCTGCCAGGCCCCACTTGTCGTTACCGAAATCCGGGGCGCAGCAGCCCAAATCTGGACTGTATCTGTGTCAAATAGCAACGGTGAGCATGGATTTTATTTCTACGAACGGCCGACCAACCGCAGGCATCTGCCACGCGTTGGGTGTCACTTGACAATTCAGTTTATGCAGTGGAAAGGTGGATTTCCAGTGAAACATCGTGATACCTGGATTAACCAGAAAACTGCGTTCGACGAATACACGCGTCATCTTGAAAACGTAGAATGATAGTAACTTGTTCGGCGATAAATTGTTTATTTCTTTAGATAAATGTGTAATTCTTCTTCGTTTCGCTGTAGTGTTTCGCTAGAGTATATTGTGGATTCATTTGTCCTGTGTTCGATAAGTCTATACTTTATTACTTGATTTTATTGTTCGCACGATTGAAATAATTTTGCATGATGGTACTCAGTGTGAAGGAATTCGAGATTGAAGCTTGGTGACATTTGTATTTGGGTTCGAATCAAATGGATTATGTCTGATTTAGTTCGAGTGTGTTAATCACACCAATTTGAAGTTTTCAGCAAATCCTAGTTCCCGATTCTAGTGTAAACAAAGATGATATTTTAAATTGAACGTATGAACAGCGCAATACCATTGAATCTTGATTACTGAGTACATGATAAAACGAACCTGTATGGTGGGACGAGTCCCCAAAAGGGCAGCGTGCACAAAACCAAAGTCCCCGTCCAGGATGCAACCAGGCCGACTGCAACGCGTCGCGGTGACACCAGTGCAGCGTAATGCAATGGCGCCGCAATCGCGTAATACCTATGCAACAATAATATTATCCTATTGCTTTCAGAGAAATAAAATATTTTTCAAATCTTAATTCATACAATCACTTCTTAATACACTGAACATCAAAATGCAAACACAAGGCTAACCCCTTCAGCAATACATTTCTATTCTTGATTCCTTCATCTATATAACAATTCTTTTATATTTATTTTTTATTAAGCATCCCCATATTTTCCTAAACACGTTCATTTTCTCAGTCAGACAATCAAACACAGCAAGAATAAACCCTTAACAACCCAGTAGTGTCTAACGTATGCACTTTGAATCGATTTATTTATATAAATTGCTTTCCTAAATAAATTGAAGTAAAAGTAAGAATACAAAATCGTATGTATGAAGATAATATGAATAGATATTTTATATAGAATAGATACTGTTGAGGCAGTACCTTATCATTTTTTAAGATTTCTTAACTTTATGATTTCAGCTTTTAAGGGCTGAGGATATTTTTGGTCAGTTACGGTGCAGAAGCACACTGAGTTGCTAAGGGATAAATATAATGTAACGTGGTGCCCGCGCGTTAACGAACAGTCCACAATCAGCGGGGCGCGACATCTTCGCGTGAATAATGAAATTAATGAAGAATTGATGAAACACGAGAAGAGGTCGCGAGGACCCGCGATATACGAACACGACGATTTAAATCCGTGCCCCTCCGGTGAATAAAACATATTTGCCCTTCGATCGACCTGAAATCTGAACTCGCGTTATTTTCAACCGAAAGCAGAACGACGTCTCTCCCCGTATTTTTATCCGTAATTTCCCGCCCGAGTTCCGAGACACTTAATATTCCAGAGTGTTTGTTATATTATCGAGGTTCTTATTGGCCTCTATTGTTCGCCGGGGGCCATTTTACAGCAGGGCTCGGTTAAGTTTCACTAAAATACGTACGGTTAAATTTACGAGATGCAACTCCATTCTTCTCGCACCACTCAGTACATCGAGGTCAATGAAACCCTATCTAAATCAAGGAAAGAAGCTAAACATAGTGGGAGTCGGTTCTTAGGGGAAAAACCGTAACAGCGAGAATTTCGCTGCAAAAGTCGTAGCCGGCGTAGTCGGCAAAAACCGACGATGGAAGCAGAAGTAGTACCCTGTTGAATTTAATATAAATACCTCGACATTTAAAAGTTTCAACAGTAACATTACAGTGGAAAAAGAAATAATTCTGTTATTCGTAACCGAATTAACTGCACCTCCCGTTCTAGATTATCTATAGACCATGAAGGAGAATGTAGTTTAAATTAAACAAACCATTATCTCAATTATTCTCTGTAACTATAGAAAAACTTATTTATGGAATGACCGAATAAGATCAAATTCTTCCAGTATTTTGCAAATTATTTACCAATAACAGACGAACGATCGTTTGTATCGTTTGTTGCACTAGTTGGGGTGCAAACAAAAAGGAAGGAAACGAAAGGAAACTGACCAATAAAACCAAAGTGCCAACTATCATGCGACGGGCTGTACTTAGCACTCATCGGACCTGGAGCGAGCGGATATTCAATCGCTCAGTGTAGACGCATCATGAAATTAAAACGAGCGCTATTGTGTTCCGTTTTGTTCGCGGCGACAGCATCGAGCACCGATAACGCGTTCATTGTACGAACGGCGCGAGATCTTCGATGGAACAGCCATTTCACGCGTTTCCCGTTGTAATTCAGCGGGACGCCGGCGGCTCGTTCTCTCGCGTTCTGAAACGACCCTGATAAGAGCAACGGGCGCCGCGCGATCTGTCCGCAGGGTTTCAGATTCAACCGAAGATCTCCCGCCAGTTGACGAGCAAAGAGATACCGCGCGGCTGAATACCGTGAAGCCGCTATCGACATCTCGCGTTGAAAAGCTTTCGGCTTTGTGCCGTCTAAAGGCCACGACTCGTTGAACGTCATCACGGGCTTCGGGTCGTGGCCGATTTTTCTATCACGTCTTCGACGAGATAAGGAACCGTAAATCCGTCAGCTTACCGGCTACGCGGATCGAAGATCGGTGTCCCTTCTTTCGGTTTCGAATCGCGTATTCTCGCTAATGCTTTCTCGATGCTCTGTGTAAGATTACGGCCAATTTATACAAGGATTGTTTATTCATCCGCAAGTAAGATAACTTACAATGTAGGCGTTAAATAAGCGTAGAATAGGTCGGGGAGGTATTTGGTTATAACATCAAATGAGTCTCGGAACAGAGATCATCATAGTGTTCCATACAAACGAAGTTAAAAATTTTAAGATGGAAAGTTTCGGAAGGAACTGTGATCTAGCATTGCTCGAAGTTGTTTTTGTCGTCTGATTTTTTGGTGTAAATAGAAATACACTGCGGTTCTCCTCCATTTTCTCGTGTGTATATAACACATTTTATAGAGACATGTGAGATGAATAATTATGAAGCAGATTGATTACTACCAGTCTTTTGAAATAAAAATAACGGTTATCGATGTAGAATTCAGTATATTGTGTTATGTTGAATGGAGTTGTTTTTGCAAATAATATTGATGGGTTAATATCAATGACGGATATGAATGATTTGATCCCGCCGGGCAATAACTGATTGATCGACGGATTTTCTGCTGCAAATATTTTAATATTGATCAATGCAAAAATGCGGATCGACGTACAACGGAATTAATACAGTATTGTCGATAAGGGGTTCATGCATAATACAATTTCAATAAAACACATGAATGTCACAGTTCAAAATGATTTTCCACTAAGCTCTGAAGTAACAAATTTATCAAAAACTAACATTCTTCAATGATAAAAGTCAACTATATAATCTATCTTCTAAAATATCTGTAAAAAAAGTAATTTTTTCTAGTTTCAGTAGTTCTTAAGATCTTCAGAATAACTGTTCTATCGTTCCAAATTTCAAAGATTGTCTCGACTTCCAACATATAAGCGATTCCTGGTAAAACGGTATTGTTCGAATATTATCGCAAAGGCCCGTACTGTACACAAATTTCATTAGAATCGACGATGCACTTAAATGATGTGTTCCGTGTCACAAATTTATCGATTGGCGGTCAAGAATAGTACCCACGAAATGTTTTCACATGGCGATGGGAAAGTTATAAACGGAGGAATTGAGCACTCACCTGTCGCAGTTCAATCCGGTGACGGTCCAGAGGGCGACCGGATGCAGGACAGTTAAAAGGAAACCGTGGAGAACGCACCAGGTGCCGACCATGGGCCAAGAACCAGTAGTAAAGATCAGTAATATCAGACACACGGCCGCCTCCACCGCGCCCAAGTGTGTCAGCAACAAAGTATTGGCGGTTTGTTGCTGCTGCGTCTGCGGACATCAGGGCAACACGCGGTTAACTTGTTAACCGAACTTCCACGCGGCCGCGTCGGAACTTCTTAGACGGCACGGGATCATAATTTCCACCTGGACCTTGTAAATTACACTTCCCTTCACGCCATGTTCGCCGGTACATTTCTCAAACGTTACTTCGCCAACTTCTTCGTATAATATTCCCGCGTGATCTCGAACACGCGTTACGCTGTTCGTTTCGCACGCGGCTTTTCAAACGTTATTCTAGCAAAACCTTCATAGACAAAAATTCTCGAACAACGGGAATTTTTGAAATATTTCGGAAATGTTCCATAAACATTGAAATGAACTAGATATAGGTAATTCTGGTTACAGGAAATTCTGTGCATCCAATGATAAGTTTGCAGAAAATTTTGTTGGAATTTCTTGGAGAACAGTGGTGCAATGTTTATTCAGATTGTAACTTGTACTTTCAGTGTGTAGAATTGTAACAACTGTAGTTCTTTATTTATCTTTAGGATTCCTTTTGTGTTCTTTTCCTCAAGAAAAACTCATTGATTCTCGCTTGTCATGTCACTGGTGTCAAAGAAATCTAATACGGATCGCCAAAGAAAAACGCGCAAGAAACAAGCAAATCGATCCCGCAACAAAAACTACGCATTGCCATCGCCTATTCTCATTACAAAAACCCAGCAATCAATAATTCCCTCGATCTTCTCATCGAAATGAATTCTGCAGCGAGTTTTGAAACCGATGCCCGAAGTCCCCCTAACTTCTTTACATCCAGCACGCAAAGCCAGTCCAAAGTTAGTACATCAAACTGCGGGAAGACTGATGAAGTGACACGAAAGTAGGGAAAACATTGTCGACGACGGACACCGCGTTATTGATTAGAGAGTACCCTACGTGTTCTTAAACGTAACAAGATACAACGAAGTGCTGGAGGAGGAGGAGGAGGAGAAGGAGGAACGGGAAAAAAACGCTCGAAGTTTACTTTACAACGCTAATACAACGAGTATTCGGAGAGTAAACGGATTCGAGCGAGGGGAATTTCGACGAGGAACACGGAGTTTCTTTTCCCGACGTTTCTGTTTGCCTTTCTCGTGGAAGGGGGTGGGCAGCGGAACCTTCAATCGCGATACAATCACATCTACGGGGTGAAACAGTGCAGCAAATCTGAAACGAGTAGTTTCGCGGGCGCCGTTTTATTCGACCCAGTTTTCGCGTCTGTCGTTCTGCGCTCCCTGGCCTTCGACATAATATGGAGAAGCCTGCGATCTTTTCCGACAAGTCCCGCGACGAGAACGGGGAATATGTAATTTGTTTGTGTAGGCTGTCCCGTGTTTTAATGATCGAAGGTTGTTAAAATATTCTGTGAGTCTAATCCAGAAACAAATGTTAATATCAACGTAGATTGTTTGAAGATTTATTAAGAAAGTTATAACGTAGTGAAACAAAAAGAACCCAAAGAATGTAATACGTATTGTGAAAAGAAATCATTTTTGGAACCTTTACTCGTCAGTCTTAATGTGTGAGCGGTGGACTAATTTGTATGCATTTAGAAGTTTGGAACTGCAGAGTTGCATAGAATGCACACACAATACGAAAGAATGTATAAATATTCACAATGTAGTCTCTATAATATTTTTTAAGCAAACCATTTTCACAAGGATCCGCAGTTTGTCGAACGAGTTACGTTTCGCCCAACTCCGGCACGAGCTGTCACGGTCAGTAAAACCGACGTAAAAGCGCAAAAGGCTATTTCCAGGGTGGCCACTTTCCTTTCGCGGGTTTCGTTTCACTCGCGCGAGAAATGTGTCATGCTTGCGAAAGGAGCGGCTGCCTGGCCAGACCGAGACCGCTTTAAAAGGTGGGATTACTCGCGATCGGAAAAATCGTAAGTCCGAGTCTGAAACGCTGCTAACCTTGTATTAATTTCTTCGGGGAGATTGAAAGCGGTCGCCCAATGATAAAAGTGAAAATAAAACGATTCAGATACCTCAGGCGTAAGAGGATCAGGCTGTATTACCCGGAGTGCATCCCCAATCTTTTGTGAATTCGGATTTCGGCCGTGGAACGATGAGAAAATATGAAGCTGGATGTACATTGACGTACAATAATTTACATAGCAAAAGAGACTCGACGGAAATGAACAATATAATTTTTAGTGTACACTGATAAACCTACAGTGACTGATATGTAATAATGTTCGTTTTATTCAGATAAAATCTATAAAGATATGCCTGCGTTGGCTATGCTTCCATTTAGTATAAAAAAAGAAAAAGTGAGATAAATCTGATGAATAAAAGACGACAGGTCTACTTCACTCTTTACTTTGTGCTTTCCCTTTGTAGGGACCTTTAGTTTTTATCTGAGGAAATTTAATATCTCTCCCTTTTGAAACAAAAATTTATTGGGTCTTATCGAATAATCTAATAACAAAATTATCGAGCTGGAGATGACGAGATTAACGGCTGCGTCCGATATAGAAAGATTTTTAAACGAAATGAATGGAAAAATGAAAGCTTCATTTGAAATATCAATTTTCTCTGAAAGCTCGACTACAGTGAAACGTTTCTAACCGAATACCCCCGGACGAATTTCTAATTCCGCTCGGCATTACAATCGCGTTAGGCGGGTTCCGGGCAGCGGAGACTCATTAACGAGCAATTGAACTCTTTCCTCCGGCCGCGAATCACGTTCAACGGAATCACACTCGCGAGTGGACTAGGTCAGTAAGTTCTCGCTGCAGATTTATCTGTCCGGCTTTCATACGCTATCAAACTTCATTGTGCGTCCTCTGTCGCCGGTAACACGGCCATCGGGGAAGACCGATAACCTATTGAATAATTCCTGCATTGTCAGTGATGTATTGTTCTCCCGAGCAAGCTGACGCGTGATCCCGATCCGTTTGGATCTCATCCTAGGTTTACAGAGCGATCCAAGAATTCGGTTATTCACCTGAACGTACTCTAGGCTTTTGGGAATAAGCACCTTTCCAACATTTTTCATCCTGGAGTCGAGGACACGGTGATACAAAAAAATTATTCTATATAAAGTACCCACGTATATCGTCTAACTGTGAAAAACTAAAAAACGTGGAAACTAAAAGATCTCTATATTAAAACATTTTATTCGAGTTTAATAACTTGGCACCGGGGACACTACGAATTTCTACATTCAAAGGAAACAGAGGAATGATTGATAATTGCTAATTCAAAATATGAACGTGGGTACCTATAGAATGTCTTCTTAGATGATGAAGCTAGCAATGATAATGCAGCATTGAGATAACTCTCCTATTGAACACAGTTTACTTCCAAAAGCCTTGAATAAATGCAACGTGAAAGCAAGTCTATACTCTGCCAATGAAAGTATCAAATCTACACTCTATCCAACGGCAGGACTTGGGAAATAACAGACCAGTCGTATACGGTTATCCAAGTTGCATCTAAGTTAGCTACCGCACGTTTTAGTTTCCATTCACTGACCCGCCCGGTTGGGTCGACTATAGCGTCCGGTTATTCACCTGTTTGCTGAGGCCGAGGACCACGAGGAGAACGCAACCGTTAAGAAGAAGACCCACTGCAGAAATGAGGATGAGAAGCACGCCAAAGGCCCAAGGGATCATTCCTCTTTCTCCCGCGTATTGGTCGCGCCGACGAAGATTTTTGGGCTCCGGGAGATGATAAGCAAGCGGATCGATCCTCGACAGCGTTCAGGTCGCTCTTCCGGTGCTGCTGATCCTCTGGCGCGTGGCCGGTCGCATCATTATGGCAGATGCACCTGCAACATCTGGTAGTGACGGATCGACGTTAGAAACAACGAAATTGGATGACCAGAACACGGGTTTCATACGTTTCTAACAAACAATAATGCGTGTGATATAACAGAGAAAGTTTGACACGAATTTCAGAACGTCGTTGGTCTCTTTTTGATTTTCTAAAGATCTTAAGGGAAGAAAGGAGTTTCTGCTTAATCTCTGTTTCTTCGCGTTGCTTTGGCAGATTTTGATTTCGGCTGAAGATCTGTAGTCTATTATATTTTGATGACTGCGATCTTCAAGTTAGATTTTTCGTCTTTCAAGTTGAAGAGTCGTACAATTGTAAATTGGGAAAATGCAATTGTACGGCGTGGTGCGTTTTTTTTAGCAGTCACTGAAGTTCGTGATGCACGATTATTTCTCTTTTGCTTCTTATTACTTCCATCCGTCGGGGGAACAGAAAAATTCGAATTGCTTACGTTGACAGAAACAATTTGCCGCCAGAATGTCGGTTTTAATGTAGAAATTTGTTGGAAAATTGCTTTTGCGAGATAATACGAGTCGCGTATGATGGGAAGTACGATGGAAAATGTTTCAGAAGTTTGTTGGGGAACTTGAATCCATCTCCCGCGGTTTTTAGACGTTTCACTGGAAATAAAAAACGGATGTAAACGTAGATGTTGCAAAAATTAATGCTGACATAGTTTTTATTGTCGGAGGAAACAAAGTCTTATAAATGTGGAGTGTAGGAGGAATGTTTTGTGTTAAGAAGATATTGAAAGCAATTGAGGTTGTTTGAAGAATTAAAAGAATTAAATAATAATATAATAACACGAAAATTTATAAACTAATAATTATTATGTTGAACCTTTGTCTCCCTTTGCTTGAAACACTTAACTTTCTTCTGAATGAGTTCTTGACTGATAAACTTTTATCGTAGATGTAATTAGTTTAGAAATATTCCTTGCAATTGCATTTATAAAAGGGTAGAAAGAAGGTAATCTTCATAGCAATAAAGAAATTATGTTCAAGAAACAATAACTTGTTCGAATAAAAAGAGCAAAATATAAATGATTTGATTTAGATTTGAAATATCGGTTATACAATTTTTACACTGAAAAAATGACATCACAGAAGAAACAGAAAGACAAACAAACGCGAAGACGGATAGAAAGGGAACAGAGAAATAAAAGTTCTGTATTGTAACGAAAGTGTCACTCACGCATGTTGGATCCATGTCATACACCATTCAAAACGTTCTAAATAACTTCGAAAAAATAAAAAAAACTAGCAGATAAACTGATAAAAAAGTAATGCGATGAAGAGAAGGACAGAAGAGTGCTTGAGTCGTACGAAATGTTCGTTCAAAACGGTCTGATGGAGAAGCTGGTAATGAAAAAACGAACTGTTATGGTTTTTATGGCACGATAAAACATTTTCCAACGAGAGAAACTCGTGGTCCATAAAACTGATTTAGAGTGTATAAATCGGACAAAAAACATGATCTGCAGAAAGGAGGGGCAAGACATTTTTCATCGTAGAAAAAATTGATTACAGACATGAAATACTGTACTATATAATTTTTTCATTTCAGTAAATATAAAAAGAAGTGACTGAATATCGTTATTCGACAGTGAATTAGAGTATTACTATTATCTTCAGAGTATTACTATTACCACGACCAACATTGAACTCAGACAGTGATCCGATTACTGCGTGAACAACTTTGTTATTACGATAGAGTTGGAACTGTAGTGCTCTACGGATTAGTGCACGCTTTCACTTTGGATTAACGTTGTTCGCTCTTTTCTAAACTACGTTCTGCACCGAATAAGAGAATTAGTTCATCTCTTATAGCTTAGAATTCAAAAATTTCCCAAACAAAATGTTGGGAACATTAAATCCTACTAAATTCGGAGAAAGCTCCGAATTTGTAGTTTTGAACTTCTAAACCTAGTACCCTAACAATTAAGAAGACACATTTATTCTAGAAAAGGAATTTTCAAGTGATAGAATAATTATCGTTTTAATATTAAACTTCATTTGCTTCAAATGAAAGCAACATACCATTCACTAGACCTACCGAATTTGATTTAAAATTTTCACCATGAGTCTGGCTCGATATCACGGGCAATATCGAACTTTCGTAGTAAATTATAATTAAATTATCTTCGAATAACACTGAATATTAACAGCGAGTATCTTATTCAGATTGGTTTCACTGAGATAATCGAAAGTCCTGTTGCTAAATTATCCGGATGTTAGGGTATTCGTATAGGTAATACGGAAACCTCCATTGCATCGCGACAGAGCAGCGAAATCCACTTCGATTGAAATAGGAGAACAGAAACGGATTTTGCAAGTTTTACGGGGCGGCGGAGTCGCGATATCGATTCATAAGGAGGCATCATCGGTTTGGTCAAGGCCGTTACATCAGAACACGAAAGGTCGGCATTCGTGTGGCGAGGACCGAATATGTCAATTAACGATGCCGGTTACCGCAGAGATATATTGAATAATACATTAATCAGACATTATAGAAACATATACAGTGTAGCTTCCTTAACCCTTATATTGGCAACCAGATATTCATATCAAAACCTTCTGCGTGTTTTTGTCTTATTCTCGTGAAAATTTCAGGAAATCACTTTGGACTTCCACCTTTTAAATATTTTTAGAAAATTAACTCAACGTACGGGTTAACGCGTTGACTACCAAATGTACATTCTTTATATCACTAATACAATCAAAGCAATTTTCCAAACGAAACAAAAGCTGAAAGTTCATGATTCTTTATAGCGATTGATCTGATAAACTTCTTGCGTCTCGTAGATCCAATAAAATTTAGTCTTGTTCGATACTTGGTTGAAAAAATTAATTTTTGTATCTATAATAATATTCACACTCGAATTCGAAGGAAAAAGGAGTTCTCCTAGTTAGCTGATTTTCATTAATTATTCAGAAATGTTTTACTATTCATAGTTATTTCAAAGTTACACTATTATAAGCCATTAAACTCGTCACTATATTAATTACAATGTACAAATTATAAAACCTAGAAATTAATGTCGAAGAAAATAATAGTAACCTTCAAAGATATTCAAATTAATCGTGCAAGGAGATTTTACTACAAGGAAACACAGATTCTGAAACCATATAGATTTCCGTCGGCCGCTTGACCTTCCTTCAAAAAAGAGCGGAAACAATTCATACGTCAAATTGACGCGAGACACCGCGTACATGCGATAGCGCTCCACTTTCGATTAACACGGAACGCCGCATGCCGTTTGTGCAACTGTCACGTCGTATCATAGAATATCGTCTATTCCCGTAAAAAGCGAACGGAGTCCAAACGCAAGCTTTACGATGGAAAATAATGAACGCGTCCCCCGGGTGGTTTAAAATCGAGAATGGAAGTTACTGCATCGTATTCCTTCCAGTTTCGATCGATGTTATTGGCTGGCATCCTCGGAGACCGTTCGTCGCGAAAGTGAAGTTTAAAAATTCAATCGGTGAGAAATATCTTCCGTTTGTTTCGCGCGAGCCAGGCTTTCCTGTATGTTCCCATCGGAAACGGAGTCAAGGAATTGGGTTAAATGGTTGTGCAAGACGAGCAAAGGGGAGCTTCTAGAATTTCATAGAGGTATATGGGGCATGTTAAAAATCCTCTTTTGGAAAATTTTGCAGCCGGGCTCTGTAACTTTTCTAATAAAACTCGTGGCGCGATGGAAACTCGACGAATGGTGACGAGCTCTATAAATGCACGTCGGTGGTGACGGTTCAGGGTTACTCAAATATTGACTAATACACTAATGAGGGACATCATGAGATGAACTGTGTGACACGATTGGTATACTACTGCGACGAGTCCAATTTATCACGGTTGTTTTCACGTTTTGCACATTGAACGTTTTACACTCTTCGAGAAGAAGCGCGCGCAGTGTTTTCATTTGATTTTTGGTTTAGTTAGTTGTATATTCAAGGAGCGATGCACATTAGTATTCATAACAGTCTAGTTTATAAAGATGATTAAATATCTTCCTACAAGAACGTTTTGTCAAAAGATCTTTCGCAATATTTGAAAAACAGCTGGAAATGGAAATGCTCGCATTTTTCAAGGAAAGTGGACAGAGTATAATATAATCGTACTGCAGATACTTAATAATAATATTATTATTATTGTCGTCAATGAAGAGTGAAACTTTAATGAAACGACAGATAGCGTATTGTTGGAATGAACTATTAAAGCGCCGTATATCGTACTGATACGGAGCATACTTTCGAGAAGAGTTATCGCGTCGCAAATGTCAGAAACGTTCTCCGTTCTCATGGAGCGGAAGATAAAAACGAGTAATACACGAAAAGTGGGGATAACTCTCGAGTAACCTTGAACGACCAATTGATTTCGACTCAATTCCAACACGCGATGGAATCGTTATTTGCCAATTGGGGGCGATAAATCGCGACAAGAGCAGATTTCGTTGAATCATGCGTGCAATGACTCTACTCTCCCCCTTTGCACGTTGTTTACCGGATCACTGGCAGGCAGACGACAAGATAATTTGGTTATACCTCCATTGAGGCGGTTCCATTATCGACTATTAAGCATGTTTCGCTGTCTTCAACAAGACAACTCGGGAGTTCCGACTCAATCATTCGGTTCCTCGTTCCAACGGCCTCGACATCCAATGTCGGTATGTATTATCATCCGCGCTTCGCCGCGAGTTCCTGACTTCTATTGTCAAAAGGGAACCCGATTACAGCGAGAGACATTCCTCGAGCTGGTTAGAACTTCCGAGAAACTAGATTTTAAAAGACTATTTGATCGCATATGTTCCGTCGCGTACAATAAAATAGATATTCGTGGTATTTGCGATGAACTCCGTTAGGTTGAAAATAAAATAAGAATATACAGTTCATAATCTACTACAATAACTATGTTTATTACTAACTGCCATTAATTACAACATTTGATTTAGTAGGAATGAATTAGACATTAACACGTTGGCCGCCACAGTGCTGATGATCAAGT